TATTCCTTTGAGAATAACTCACTGGACTCTCTTAATTTAATACATGAATTACAACCAAGTGTTACAGTACTTATTATAGCTCCCAAATTAATGGTATATAAACAAAAGTTTTCCAGTATCCAGCTAAGTTAATACTATGGAAAACATTTCTTTGCTGTTGCCTTTATTCTGTACAAACATAGCATATTTCTAGTCATTGGAGGTCTTTGGATTAAAAAGCCTACATACTCTGAGTTTTTGGAATTTTTATAAGATAGAAAAATGTAGTTTAACTTTTCTGACTGAATTATAAAATGTCTTCTTCCATCATAACCTGTTTCTGATTGGGCTAAGATTTTTTTCTTATTTAAAATATTCAGTACTCAGATTTTACAAGTTTATTTATTTTTAAAATTACAGGTTTTTTTTCAAAGATAGGTTTGTAATAAAAAAAGACTAGTAAGTGGTTATTTTAATAACTTGAAAAATTCAGAAAATGTAAGTTTTTAATCACTCTAATTCCACTTTGCCCATATTTTCAAAAACAACAGTTGTGCCATTAGTATTTGGTGCTGTCTACGTCATCTTTTTCTGTGTGCATTGTAATACCCTGAGGGTGTAGTGCAGATGGGATATCACTTGCGGCTTTTCACAGAGCAGTGTAACACTGATTGAGCGGAGCTCTGTGACCATTACCACCTTTTATCCTTTCAACCCACTGCTTCCCTCCGTCTGAATTAGCCCTACTGTCTATATGTGTACCTCCGGGAGCACACGCTTACCTGCCTCTCTGCCTTTGTTCATACTACTTATATTTCCTGGAATACATTTCAACCTTTGCTTTCCTCTCCCGATTCCCCTTTCATTTGAACTACCTTAGCAATTCTATTCCAGATCACTTAATATAACATTTAATATGTACTCTCAGGCTAGTGTTTATGGGACTGTAAAACACTGAACAGATGTTTATAATCTATCACATGCTTATGTAAAGCAATAAATAGATATATATCATTTGAAAAGTATTTTATGCCTCAAAGTTATACCTCATAAATAACACTTTAAAACAGTTATCTCAAAGATAAGTAATAACAGGTAAAGATATATATTTTAGGGTATACTTAAAGACTCATGGCATTAATAAATGTTCTTATAAACTATCCTGATAAAAATATTTTTAGGCGCATTCATGTCTTATCTAGTTATAAATCAAAATTAAATATTATTAAATAATTTTCATTGTTATCCATAGTAAAACATTTTGTCTTTTAAAAAATAACACAAGTGTGTACAGGGTGCTCTTTAAAATAGTTTGAGCAGCACTAGCCAGTAGGACTCAGTGGATTGAGCATCATCCCATGCACCTAGAGGTCACCAGTTCAATTCCCATCAGGGCGCATGCCCGGGTTGTAGGCTTGATCCCCAGTAGGGGGCATGCAGGAGGCAGCTGATCAATGTTTCTCTCTCTATCTTCCTACCTCTCTAAAAATAAAAAATAAAATTAATTAATGAAAAATAATTTGAGCATATGATTTGTATGCCAAATAACTAAGCTTGAGTCCCATCTCTACCATTGCTTATCTAGTGACTATTACCTCTATGCAAGTCACATAACCTCTCTCAAAGTTTTTATTTTTTTCTTCATAAAGTTGACCTAGGGTGGGGAAGGAGGACAGGAAGACTTCTCGTACCCTAGGGATTATACTTTCCTAAAGGAGAGTATTCATATGCTGCCAAAAGTAAATATTTTAAATCTATCATAACTATCATCATTTTTAAAGCATTTTCTAGCCCCTCTGATTCTACAGATTCTGTTTAATTACTAAATAATCATTGAATCATTGGCTACCTCCAATGCTAGTTTTTGTCCAAGACAAACTCAAAATGCACTTCTGATCCCTATAGGTTATTATCATTGTAGAATGTCATAGAATTTATATTGTAAATATATACACACACACACACACACACACACACAAGCAAAATATGTATTTAGGTTTTGTGTTTAAATTATTGTCTACTAACTCTAGTATTTGTTAACCATAGTGTCATAAGAACAACTTAAGCTCTGAAGTTAGACTGATCTTGATTCAAAACTTAGTGTTAATAGAGAACCCTGAAATAAACCCACCCCTGCATGGTCAGTTGATCTATGACAAAGGAGACAAGAATATACAATGGGATATAGTCTCTCCAATAAGTGGTGTTGGGAAAACTGGACAGACATGCAAAAGCATGAAACTGGATCTCTTTCTTATACCATATGTAAGAATAAACTCAAAATAGATTGAAGGCTTAAATGTAAGACCCAAAACAATAAAAATTCTAGAAAAAAACATAGGCAGTAAACTCTTTGATCTCGCTCTTAGTAATATTTTTTTGAATATGTCTCCTCAAACAAGGGAAACAAAAGATAAACAAATGGGACGACATCAAACTAAAGAGTTTTTGTATAGAGGAAGAAACCATCAATAAAACAAAAAGACAGCCTAGTAAGGGAAAAGATATTTGCCAATGATACATCCAATCAGGGATTAATATCCGAAATTTATAAAGAACTCATACAACTTAATAACCAAAAAATAGTCAATCAAATTAAAAAGTGGGCAAAGGATCTGAATAGATACTTCTCCTAAGAGGACATACAGACATATGAAAAGGTGCTCAACTTCACTAATCATCAGAGAAATGCAAATTAAAACCATAATGAGATATCGCCTCACACATGTCAAAATGGCTATCATCAGTAAATCCACAAACATCAGGTGTTGGTAAGGATGTGGAGAAAAGAGAACCCTTGTGCACTGTTGGTGGGAATGCAGATTGGTACAGCAACTATAGAAAACAGTATGGTGATTCCTCAAAAAATTAAAAAATATAACTACCTTATAACCCAGCAATTCTACTTCTACTTCTGGGTACTTATCTGAAGAAATCCAAAACACTAATTCAAAATGATATGTGCATCTCTATATTCAGTATTATTTACAGTAGCCAAGCTATGGAAGCAGCCCAACTGCCCATCAATAGACAAGTGGATAAAAAAGTAGTAGTGGAATATTGCTCAGCCATAAAAAAAGAATGAAATTTTTGCCATTTGGAACAACACCTAGAGGCTATTATGCAAAGTGAAATAAGTTGGACAAAGAAAGACAAATACCATGTGGTCTTACTTATATGTGTAATCTAAAATGCAAATAAACAGAAACTTACAGGTAGAATAAATAGATGGTTGCCAGATGGGAGAGGGGTAGGGAGGAAGTTTGAAAAAGGGAAGGGAGTAAGATATACAAATTGTCAGTTATAAAAACAGTCACAGGGATATAGAGTACAGCATAGAGAATATAGTCAATAATATTGTAGTAACTATATATGGTGTCAGATGGGTACCAAACTTATAAATGTGTAATCACTATGTTGTACACCTGAAACTCATAATATTGCATGTCAACTATAATTGGAAATTTTAAAATTTTACAAAGCCCCAGTCTTGCCATCACAGGTTATGCAACTTAAGCCTGATTTTCCAAATACAAAATGGGGCACTAATGTAATCTTCAGAGTTGTTGTGGAGGTTAAATGACAACCTATGCAAAGTACCCGTGTATCATGCATATAAACGGCATTTAATAAATGTAAGTTTTGCCCTGGCCGGTTTGGCTCAGCGGTTTGAGTGTCGGCGCGCAGACCGGTCCCAGGTTCTGTTCCTGCGAAGGGCATGTACCTCCATTGCAGTTCGTCCTTGGCCCCGGTTGGGGTCGTGGGGGTGGCAACCAATCAATGTGTCTCTCTCACATCAATATTTCTGTCTCTCTCTCCCTCCCGTTCTATTTGAAGATAAATGCTAAAATGTCCTTGGGCAAGGATTAAAAAATAAAATAAGTGTATGTTTTTATCCCCCCAAATAGCAATAAAAGTAGGATTTGGGGATATTTATACTAAAGATTAAAAAACTGGCAGGTGATAAAGAAATGGTTGAGTCAGTTGTAAAGAATCCAGGACCATTGTGGTTAATTTTAAGATAGAATAGATGGTATTTTTTAATATTTAATACAGATTAGTTAAAAATATTTCAGTAGTATTGGTTGTTCTGAGCAGCACATAATATGAAAATAGGAGTTTTGAAACATGTCTGTTTCTTTTGACAATTTGGTAATACTGTAACAGAGAGTAATACAACAGATTCTCATTTACCCACCACCCAGAATGAACAAATTCCAGCTCTCTTTCATATTTGCTTTAGATATTTAACATTATTCTTAAAAGAACTTAGTCTTTTCGATAAAAATGACGCTCTCTTCGTGCTGTTCCCCAGGCCCTTTCCTCTCACTTTCTCCTCAGAGGCAACCTCTGTCATGAACTTGGTGTGTATCTTCCCACCCAAATGTTTATATTTATACTTATATTAGATATATAAGCATACATTGTTTTTCAATTTGAATTGACTTTCAAATTTACGTAGTTATCATATTTTATGAGTGTTCTGCCTCTTGCTTTTTTTCTTAACACTATGTTTTTGAGACTTACCCTTCATGGAATGTTTACAGTGCCATCCTCCATGTCTTCACTCGTCAACACTTCCTCATCCATTGATCAGAATCTTCACTAAGATGGAGAGTGTAATAGCAGTTCACACCATAATAGAGGTGGGAACTACTGGCTTGAACACCTTCCCAGTATGAACTACACAGGTTTTCACAATATTTAACTGTATTTCTATGCTTAACAGCTCAAATTCCAGCCAGCTCTTATTTTGAATGTAGTTTAAAAAAAAAAAAGTACCGCATTTCTGATTATCATCTACAAGTTGATCTATCTACAACCAAAGCTTCCCAGTAACCTACGGCAAAACCCCATCATCCAAATTTGTTCAAAAGAACTTGTATTTTAGAAATTATGTTTCTAGAAAGAATATGGATTAAATCTCCTTGTACATTTTATTTAAAATGATTTAAAACTTCAAGGCCAAACACCTTCGTCCTCTTTTTTGTTTGTCTCTTGTTTTGTTGTTTTGTTGACAGCTTCATCACTGGTCCAGCTGTAGTCCCAGGGTACTTCTCCGTTGATGTGAAGAATGTGGTGCTCATTTTAAATGGAAGAGAAAAAGCCAAGGTCTTTTATGCCATCCAGTGGTTACTTTATGTACAAAATTTAGTACAAACGCAAAAACTTCAACATGTTGCTGTTGTTTTGCTTGGAAATGAACAATGTAACAATGAGTGGATCAACCAGTTCCTCAAAAGAAATGGAGGCTTCGTGGAGCTGCTTTTCATAATATATGACAGCCCCTGGATTAATGACCTGGATGTTTTTCAGTGGCCTTTAGGAGTAGCAACGTAAGTACAAAATATTAGACATGTTTCTAGACTTTAAGACCTGAATTTCAGAATCAGGAAGATTGTGTTTTAAATTTGTAATCAATGTAGTTCTTTTGAGATCACTGAAGCCAGGTACAATCTTTTCCATGGGCAAAAATATGGTTTGGTCTCATGCTTTAGTAACAATAATGATGTTTTTAGAGTATTTTGGCCTTTTATGAGGAAGGCAGATGACTTGCCTTTTTGTGTTTCAAAATCGCAAGGCATAGGATGAATTTTTAATTTATCAGCAGTTCCTTTAAGAGATGTTTAGCAGAGGATGGCAGACAGACGGACCTTCCTCAAAACAATTCTTATAGAATCTGTATAATTAATAGTGTAAAAAAAACTTTCTTAAAGGCAATATTAAATCAGGAGCACACATACCCTAGGATTAGAAAGTGTTATGATATGCTCAGATCTCCTACTAAGACTGGTTGAATTTATACAAATGTCTATGAAAAGGAGGAATTAACTAAAGTTTCTCCCTATGTCATATATATGAAGTCTTTCTTTAAAAGGAAAACTTATTTTTTGTCTTTTTCTTCATAGAGGGGATTTTTAATTAAGAGTAAGTTGGCTTTAAGATGAGTTGCTCCTGTACCTAAACTTCCTGATGGCAGGGCTTTTTGTCTCTTTTTGTCCACTCCTTTATCTGCAGAGCCTAAAACAGTGCCTGCACAGAGTAGGTACTCAGTAAATCGTTGTTGAATGGATGCATTATGAAAAAGCTCACTAACGTGATGTTTGAATGAGATATTTGTCACTCATAATTATATAACTGGTTACGAGATGTGGCCTTAGATTGCTGCCAAATCGGCTACATGGACACCACCAGAGAAGCACCTTAATAAGATAGAGTCCCTGGGTTACCACTACACTATTCTGATTCAGTAGGTTTGGGGTAAGATCAGACAAAAAGGTTATTATATTAGGTATAGCCAGGTTTAAGGCCTCTGAAAAATCTATTCCTTGAGCTATATTTGTAAAGTGTTTTGAAGCCAAAAAAAAAAGTACTTTTTCAGCCCTGGCCAGTTTGGCTCAGCTGTTAGAGCGTCGGCCTGCGGTCCGGAGAGACGCGGGTTCGGTTCCTGCTAAGGGCACGTACTTTGGTTGCAGTTTGTCCCCGGCCCTGGTTGGTCGTGCGGGTGGCAGCCACTCGATGTGTCCCTTCACGTCGATGTTTCTCTCTCTCTCTCCCTTCCTCTCTCTCCCTCCCACTCTATCTGTACAAAAAAAAAAAAAAAAAAAAAGGAAAAATATCCTCGGGTAAAGATAAAAAAAAAAAGTACTTTTTCATAATAATACTATATAACTTATTACTACAATATAGGATGGACTCTCTGTAATTCTGGTATTGTTGAACTAGGCCAGTATCTCTGTTATAGATCAGTGGTTCTCAACCAGGGGCACTTTTGTGCCCCCCCCCCCCCCGAGACATTTGACAAGGTCTGGAGATCTTTTGGGTTGTATAGTGGAGGGAGGAGGTGATACTGACATCTGGTGAGTGGAGGCCAGGGGTGCTGCTCAGTGTCCTACAATGTAGAGGTCGGCCTCCACCACGAAGCATTACCTGGCCCCAGATGGCAGTAATGCTGGGGTTGAGAAAACCTATTATATAAAGCTTTGTACTTTTTTTTTTTAATTCTCACTCAAGGATATTTTTCCATTTATCTTCAGATAGAGTGGGAAGGAGGGAGAAAGAGTGAGAGAGAAACATCGATGTGAGAGAAACACATCAATTGGTTGCCTCCCGCATGACCCCAATGAGGGCGGGGGACGGACTGCAACCAAGGTACATGCCCTTGGCTAGAATCAAACCTGCGACTCTTTGGTCTGCGGGCTGACGCTCTGAGCCAAACTGGCCAGGGCTAAAGCTTTGCTCTTATGTGAAGGTTGTATTTCAGGCATACAATTTGATTTCTGTTACTTCCAAATGCCTATAAAAATGGGCCACTTGCAGTAGGCCTCTCCTGTATGGCATGCAAAGTTTTTGTTTGTTTATTTATTTGTTTGTTTTTTAATCTGCTTGAAAAACCTTTGAAATGGGAGTTCTTTGCTCTAGCACTATGTATTCTGCCACCTGACTAAAATATTAATTAAATCATGATCATTATGAAAGTAGAAGGTTATTTATACTTTTAAGGTCTTGAATTCCACCTGTCATATAACTACAGGTATGTAATAAAAGTTTAAGAATAGAAAAATCAAAGCACAATCTCAAGTCAGTAGATTCAAGGACTTTTTCAAAGTAAGCACGGAAAATTACAATTTGGGGTTTAGAAAGTCATATTTGAAATTTCTTCTTTCTATATCATCATGCTAAGATGATGGGTTGTGGGAATTTTGCCAATTCTATTGTCATATATTATTAACTCATATGTATTTGTTTTATAGATACAGGAATTTTCCTGTGGTGGAGGCAAGTTGGTCAATGCTGCATAATGAAAGGCCCTACTTATGTAATTTCTTAGGAACTATTTATGAAAATTCATCCAGAGAAGCACTTCTGAACATTTTGAAACAAGATGGAATTGATAAGCTTTGTTGGGTTTCAGTAAGAGAACAGTAAGTTCTGTGTTCACTTGATTCATTCATTTTGTTCTCCCATCCTGAGGGTTTCTTTATGTGGCAACACAGGTTTCCATAGAGACATTGTTAACTCCACTTATATCAGCCTTTTTCCGAGAGATAGTTGGAACTGAAGCTATGAAGAGCTTGGGTTGTATACATTTAAAACGGAGAATCTCCTACAGCTGTGGTCAGTCCGTCTTGAAGAACACTAGTAACTGGCATATGCAAATGTCAATTGTTTGGGTTTCCTCAAAAATATTTGTTAGTCAGACTTGACACAGGGATTGTGACTATGCCAGGAAGGGCTTAGGTTTATCCCCGAGATGTTCTGTGGACCAGTTCAGTGTTCTAGTGTTAGCATGGAGTACGCCTCACAACCAGTAACCTGTTATCACCCTGAGCACAGGGCCACTTACTATGCTTTGAATTCCTAGATCTAACACAGGACCTTGCATAAAGCAGGCCAGGATAGAGGGCAGTGGATAGATGCACGGAAGCATGCATGGATGGAGGCGTGGAGGCATGCGTTGATTTAATAGGGTTGACTTCCATTTTTTACATGGTACTCATGAAATAGGTGTTTGTGGGATGAAAGAAGATATTTTGGAATTACTCGTGTTATTTAAAAATCCAATGGAGCCCTGGCTGGTTTGGCTCAGCGGGTGGCTTGTGGACCAGAGGGTTTGGTTCCCGCTAGGGGCATGTACTAAATAAATAAATAAATAAATATCCAATGGAGTTTTATGTGTATGAAGCAGTCATAAGAGAACTAATGTCCTTCTAGATCTAGAAATGTGTTCAGCCCTGGCTGGTTTGGTTCAGTGGTTAGAGTGTCGGCACATGGACTGAAGGGTTTTGGGTTCGATTCCCAGTCAAGGGTACATACCTGGGTTGCAGGTTCAATTCCCGACCCCAACTGGGGGTTGTGTGGGAGGTAATCAATTGATGTGTCTTTCTCACCTCTCTCTCTCTCTCTCTCTCTCTCTCTCCTGTCTTTTCCCTTTCTTCTCTCTCCCTTCCTCCATCCCTCCCTTCCACTTGATCTAAAAATCAATGGAAAAATATCCTCAGGTAAGGATTAGCCAAAAAAATAAATAGATAAAAGTAATGTGTTCATTGTAGCAGACCACTCTTCCAGAAAGCATAACTCTCAACTCCATTATTTGTGGAACCATGTTATATCTATTCAGTCAACAAATATTTATGAAGCAACTGCTATGTGCCAAAAACAGCTCTAGCCATAGGGGGCACAGCAGTGAACAGAACAGTCATAAGTAGGTGCCCTCTTAGAACTTAGATGCTTGCTGGAGGAGGCACACCAGTAAAATAGGTTGTGTGTCAGAGTACGACACATGCCATGTGGAAAATGTGAGCGGAGCAGTGGTGTGGAGAGGACTAGGGGTCAGGAGTGGAGCATTTGTGTGTTCAGAATGGCCAAGGGTGAATGGGCAGTGAGTGGATGATGACATGGATGGAGGCCTGGAGACATGCAGTGGTCTAGTGGGGTTGACTTTCTTCCATTTCTCACATGGTAGTCATGAGACAGGTTACATTTGGCACAGGCGTGATGAAGGTGCAAGATGAGCCTGTGTGTCTGGGGGAAGAGGGGTCCAGGCCGAGGGTGAATGTGAGGGGCCTGCCATGGCTGAGGAACAAGGGACAGTGTGAAATGACAGTTTATGGTGGGAATAGAATTATTCTTATAATTCACATCAGCTGGGCCAGGAAGTCGAGTACGTGTCCTCCTTGCTTCTCATCGCTGTTTCCAGACCATTCTCCCTTTTCCCTCCCTAAAACCACCACTTTTGAATCTCATGCCAGCAGACAAAACTATCCATTTCTCTTCCCCTTTGAAGTCATGTTCTGATCCTTGGGTTTATCTCCTTAATTCTTTGAAGGGTTTGGTTCCTGGCACTTTTTCTGACATCACCCCAATCTCACTTCTGATGATTCCCAAATCTACGTAAATAGTCCTTCCATCACCTTGGTCGGTTCCTTTACCTCCTCTCCCCCGTGTCCTGTCTCCACTTGACCTCAGCTATTCCCTTTCATGGTCATCTCCTAGACCTTATCCGTACACGTAACCGCTTATTCTCCATGATCTCATCTTCCATCCACCATTGCCTGTCCTGCCAGCATTCCCTGTAATAATCTCCTACAGTTTAGCTGAGACTTACAACCATTGTTCCTACTCCCTTTCAGTGTCCTTTGCTCACCTCATATCTTTACTTTCTTCTTTACCCCACTTCAGTGTCCTAGTCAGTCATGACTGGATATACGTCCAGCTTCTTCATCTCCTAGTCCAGCAAACCCTGACTCTGGGTAAATCCCGCTCTCACCTGCATCATACCTGCACCCATGCAACCAAACACACGTGGAGAAAGCTGCCGATCAGTCTCACTTTTAATACATGACCTTGACCCGCAAGTGCCCCACAATCGTCCATTTCCCTTGTCTGTGTGTTCTTCCACTCTCCTAGAAACTTTTATACCCTGTTCTCTCCCAACCCACTCTTACCTTGTGACCCTACCGCTCATTTCACGGAGACACAGTAACAGTCAGGAGAGAGCTTCCAGCTCTGAACTGGCTTCTCGGCTTCTGCCCTTGCCCTGCAAGGTCTGTTCTCAGCAAGCAGCCAGACTGATTCTGATACCACACAGGTCCGGTCGATCACCCCTCTGATCCAAACCCTGTGTGACAGATGCTCCGACTGCACCTTCCAGCCCCCTTCCCCTTGGTCACTCTGCTTCAGCCACCCTGCCTTCCTTGTGCTCACTGTCCCGTGGCCTTTGTGCTTCCTCTGCTCTTCTCCCCACACATGTCTGTGTGTTTCTCCCTCACCTCCGGCTCCATGCTGACGCCCTGTAATGACACAGTCCCTGATCACCTGTTTTACATGGCAACCCCACCCCCTCAGAAACGCCTTCCTCACTCTCTGCTGCATTTCTCTTCTAAATAATTTACTGACTGGACTTGCTTGCTACCTGTCTCCACCACTAGATCTAGAGTATACATTCCAAGGGGCAGGAATTTGGAGGGTGAGGCAGAGAGAAGACCTGGCACTCAGAAAATATTGGTTGAATTAACATTCTTTCATACATGTTATGGTGACCACTGGATCTTAAAAATGTGTGTAGCTGTAAACTTTTCGAATTCTTAAACATTTTCAATAAATTTATTTGGGCAAGATTTTACTTATCTTTTCTACTTGTCATCTCTATAATGAGTTTACCATTGCCTGTAACTGGCAGGAAAAGGTAAAATCTTTCCTTTCACACAGATCTGCTTAGTAAAGTGAAAACCACAGTTGTTGTTCTGATGTTCCAGGTGGCAGCCTCAGGAAACAAATGAAAGCCTTAAGAATTACCAAGAAGCTTTGCTGCAGAGCGACCTCACCTTGTGCCCTGTGGGAGTGAACACGGAATGCTACAGGATATACGAGGCGTGCTCCTGCGGCTCCGTGCCCGTGGTGGAGGACGTCATGACAGCTGGCGGCTGTGGGAACACGTCTGCTCACCAGCAGGCCCCTCTGCAGCTGCTCAAGTCCATGGGCGCCCCCTTTATCTTTGTTAAGAACTGGGAGGAACTTCCTGCTGTCCTAGAGAAAGAGAAAACTATAATCTTACAAGAAAAAATTCAAAGAAGAAAAATGTTACTTCACTGGTATCAACACTTCAAAACAGAGCTAAAAATGAGATTTACTAATATTTTAGAAAGTTCATTTTTAATGAACAATAAAGGCTATTAATTATATTTTTGAGCTAAGATCTGATTTTTTAAATCATTTCTAACATTGGGGGGTGTGATTGTGTGTTTGTCGTTGTTCTTTGGGGTGTCCTTGTGGACTCTAGAAGGATGTCTGTCCTGGCTGACCAGGATTGCTGGGCCAATCCTGGAGATGCAGCTGAGGGTACTCAGCTCCCTGTCACAAAGCTGGACGATTCCGCGTGCATTAGCTCTTCTCAGCCATCAAACGCACTCTAGGGAAGCAGCACTGTGCCGTGGGAAGGCTGGGCTTGGGAGTCAGCCTGGGGGAAACCCCGCCTCTGCGCCTACCGCTGGGCCCGAGGCAGCCACGCAACTGCTCTGAGTCTTGGTTCCTCTCGATGTAAAATGGAGATGACGGCTCTTCATAGGGCAACTGGTAAATACGAAATGAAATAATATACAAAGTACCCAATATATACAGTAAACTTCAAATAAATAGTTATCTCTGATTCATTTTCCATTCCTCACTAGTTGGGGTTACATTTAAATGTTTGATCACACGCTCATTTGCATCATTTGGGAGTAATCATATGCCTTGTTAGAAATGTACGTGGGCAAGTCTGCGGACTTAGACTTTTAGATGACTCAGGTCTTGTTGGATCATGTTGAGGCGGGTGCCTGGAAGCAGAAATTGGTCATAATCCATACAGAACATGACGAACCAGAAAATGAGTGCCTAAAGGCTGGAGCACGGAGGGCTGGCCAGCGCGGAGGGCTCTCCGTGCAAAGGCTGGCTGGTGCCCGGAGAGCAGCGGCTTTGGTTAAGGCTGACGCTGGTCTTCATCTCCAGTCCCTGGGCTCCTGAGAGGTGCAGGGGCACATGGGCTCAGTCCGTTGCTTTGCCTGGCTTTCTATTTTCTCAGGAATCCCAGCGGCTTAATTTCTGTGAAACCAAGGGATTAACATCATTGTTAATGATCCTTTTTTTGTCTCCTCATTATATGAATGGCCACAGATATGCGATAGGTGTAAATGTCCCCACACATCACGGACCTGGAACGTACACAGGACTCTCCGCATCACCAGCGGGTCTGGCAGCCTGGATACAAGGGAGCTCACTTAACATCATATTGAAGGATCATGGTGCCCACCACAACCCTGTTCCATTCTGAGTAACTGTCCCTGCTAAAGACACCAACGTAGGGAGCTATTTTATGCTGTGTCTCTTTCTTTTTTTTTGGTACGTGCCCCTAGCGGGAACTGAACCCGGGACTCTCTGGTCCGCAGGAAGATGCTCCAACCGCTGAGCCAAACTGGCCAGGGCTCCCTCCTCCTTTGTGACCCACTTCAGGTGACAAGTATGGACACTATTCAAGGGCACCTTGTCAGTAGTACCGAAAAATAGTAACTGAGGAAGATAGCTAGTGCAAGGTCTTTGTGAACTAGGGAATACTGGGAACCCGGGAGTCAACTGCAGGAGCAGAAATGGAAAGGATGCGGTGGAATAGGACTCTAAGGTAGGGTCGGGGTATGAGAGAAGCAGAGATGCTGAGAACAAGCTCAAGAAGAGAAATCTGCCCCAGGGCCCTTGTGATGGCTCCTAATGGGTTTCCAGCTCCAGCGCCCATGAGCTTTGAGCTTGCTTTTCAATTTCCCCATGGTGCATCTTCAGAATCATCTCCTTTCTTCAGCCTTCGTCCCTCTGCCCCTGGTTACCCCTGGTTACTTGAGCTGACTTCTAAACCAAAACAGCCTACCCCAAACTACCACCAAACGCTTCATCTCTGAGTCCCCATTTTGTCTAGTCCTTGAACAGGAGAGCTGCCAGGCCAAGGCTGCAACACAGTTCTCCTTCGAGTAGGTTAAAGAAGGCTGTACTGTCAGAGACAAGACTGGGTCGTCATTCTCTTTGTGTGGAACTTGCTGTTGCCCATACTCCTTTCAAAGAGCGCTTTCGGCGCTGTGTCCTTGCTGCCAGCAAAGCCTTTGGAATGTCAAGACCATGGGGCAAGACACAAGTGAATCACATCAAAGGAATTTTCTAACGTTCTCCCACATTCTTTTGTACCCTGTGGAGTCTGTGGGTAACTTAGTAAGAGGCCAAGTCTCAGCCTTCATTTGCCTGTAGAACTAGTTAGAAAGTTGCCCCTCCCTTGGCTACTGGAAGAAACTGAATTAGGGCCCTGCCCATAATGGGAGATTATCTGAGATTGACCTGCCTATAGGGCAGGGCAAACTTCTGTTAACTGAACCTCTGTTGTTCTTAGCATCCTGCAATGACCCTTCACAGCCCCCAGGGTGCATCACCTCCTTCCTAGCGCAGGATGTCTTACATACCTGGATGCTCCTTTTTGTCTCTGAACCTCTCCTGCAGGTGGGGTCTCTGGCTCATGTATGTGGGATTCTCATACATGTGTATGTATGAAATTTGGTTATTTTCTTTTGCTGATCTGTCTCGTGTCTGTTTGATTATTGGATCAGCCAGAAGAACCTTAAGGGTAAAGGAAAGTTTGTTCCTCCCCCACATAGTAAAATTTATCTAAGTAGTTAGAAGATCAAAAGGGGGGAAGGAGTGGAAAGTGAAGTATGGGCTGGTATAATCAAGTTTGTGATTTTTGCTGAGTCAACGTCCTTTGGGGTAAAATGCATCAGAGAACTAGGTAAACATCAGGATTGTGGGGCGGTGAGGGGGGTTCTATGTAAAGTGACCTCACAGGGTGATCTGATCATAAATTCCTAACTGGCCAGATCATGGTGGGTAGTCAGGCCCTAAGCATATAACTTATTTAGTAAAATGTTTCTCTTTGCCTTAAACCAGCCCTGTCTATTGTTTCTGTGCATATAAGTTAACGCACCTTTGAAATGCCTCTTTTCAGACCCCTCAGAAAAGAAACCTCTCTCTCTCTCTCATCAATAAATTTAAAAAACAGAGAACAGATCATTTTGACTATCCTGAAATCTGATCCCCACCTTGCTCTCTGTTGAGATCTTGCTTCCAGGTGTAACCTCTGGCTCAAATAAAGTCTTATAAAAATTCTGACGGGATGAAAACAGAGAATAGTATATAAGGAGAAGACATCATTAAGGATAAATTATCAATTGATAGCAATATATTTTTTTAAATCCTCACCCGAGGATACTTTTCCATTTATCTTTGGATAGAGTGAGAGAGAGAGAGAGAAACCTTGATGTGAGAGAGACACATCGATTGGTTACCTCCCACACGACCCTGACCAGGGCCAGGGAACAAACTGCAACCGAGGTACATGCCCTTGACTGGAATCAAACCTGCAACTCTTTGGCCTGTAGGCCAGCACTCTAACAGCTGAGCCAAACTGGCCAGAGCGATAGCAATATTTTAAAATACTTTATTGAGGGGATTCCTGTGTCACACAGACAGGAGAAAAGAGAGAAGGAAAACAAGCCAAGTTGTCTGTCAAGTCCTTACCTAGATCAATCTATCTGTAACGGATAGATGAGAGCTGGTAGGTAGATAGATAAAATACAGGGTGGGGAAAAGTAGTTTACAGTTGTATGGAAAATAATACAAGAATAAATAATAATACAAGAATAACCTCTGTGTTTTAAGTACTCACAACTGTAAACCTACTTTTGCCCACCCTATATATTATTTTGAATTTTTACATAACTAGGTTATCAAGTATAAATGGAGAAACAAGATTTCTTTTTTTTTTTTTTTTAAGTATATTTTGGGGAGAAGGAGAAAGAGCCTCCTTCCCACATTTCCTCCCCCAGCCCAAGGGATGGAACCCACAGCCCAGGCATGTGCCCTGACTGGGGATTGAGAAGTTGACCTTTTGGTGCCTGGGTCAACTCTTGAGGCACACCAACCAGGCCAGAAGCAAAATTTTAATTGTAACGTGCACTGGAAGACGGATGACACTCACTTGCAATTTCAGCTTTGTCCAGGAGAAGGAGCCACGAAACCACAAATAGCATCATGGTTTTCAGAGTTTTTCATGTTATTTCCCAACTGAGGAAAGGAGGAGAATTAGAGAACTGGAGAAAAGAATGCTATTGAATTTTGGACGGAGAAGTCTTCTGCGAGAGATTGTCTCCCATACTGCAGCTTTAAGCCATTGAACCCAGCCACCACGGCCCAGGCATGATTTTCTCTCAAGTCCCTTCCGTTTACAACATAAGAATCTAGATGCTATCCATTGTTAGAAGCTCTCACTCTTCTTAAATAAACCGGTTAGAATCGAAAATGTGTTCACTGTTGAATGAAAAATAGGTTTGTGTTATTGAAGTTTGCGCAATCAGAAACCTTAAAAGTAGCTCATTTTTGTCAAAGGATCAGTGTTCAAGTTTCTCAGAACTTCAATAGGTTTTAAATTTCTCAATGTAAAAAGACAAATGTGATTGCTTATATTTCATTAAATGTAACACATTCATTAGTTTCTCATGTAAATTTCATTTACCGTTTCCAAAGTTGAATAAGTCCTGCTTAAAGAACCATCCAGGCCGTGGGGATCCAATGACAGGCTCGCATGCGCACATCCTGTACATGGGGTCTGCCTCCTATATTGTTTCACGTCAGCCAGACAATTCAAGGAAGGGGAAAGACAAACAGCCAATAAACACATGTAAACATGTTCGTCCTTGCTAGTAATCAGGGAAATGCAAATTGAAATAAAAAGGAGATACCAGTTTAGATTTATCGTTCTAGCAAAAATGTTAAAGTCAAACTTGGGCACCTTCATGTACGGCTGGAAGAGCTGAAATTGGAATGACCACACTGAAGAGCAGTTTAGCCATAAAATAAAGTTAGTGATACACATACCCTGCAATCCAGCAGCTCTACTCCCTCACGCCGAAAACCTGGCTGCATGCTATGCTCATCCCACTGGGTTATCATGTGCATAAGGAAACAAATTCAAAAATAGTCAGATCAACATTGTTTATAGTGACAAAAAATCGGAACCAACATAATGTCCATTAGCAGGAGAATAGAAACATGAAGTGTTTCTATTTCATGTGGTATGATTATTCAATAGAAAACGAATGAAACTGTACACGCTACAGGTACCTGAAGC